GTTCGTGTACTCAGACCAGTAATATTTGGGGTCACAAGTTTTTGCCATGGATATTTTGTGGGTCAGAAGACAAAAAGTTTGGGAACCACTGCTTTAGATGTTTGTTTTTGAGACGCCAGAGATGGAAGGCTGATTTTAGCTGTTCTTGTTGAAGCAGAAATTACTCTCCTCTAAAGCAGAGKTTCTCAAACTGGGGTCCATGAGAGGTTTCTTTGGGGTCCTCAAAAAATTGTACTAAATTGTTAATTTTTTTAAATGCACGGAGAACAATGAACTAATAAAACAAACATAATAAACTTAATAAATATATATAATCCCATAGCATTTAGGGGTTGAAATGAAAATAAATTATCTTTTAAAACAGCATGGGGTTTATTTTGTCTGCTCTTTTAAGGGGTCCCCAGACACAAACGGCTTGAGAACCCCAGCTCTAAAGGACTTTAATTTAAAAAAAGGCTTAAAAGTTGCCTTTAATGCAAACTATAACATGTTTTTAAAAAATAAACTGTTAGCAATGCTTCAGCTGTCTACCTGTTGTCTCCTTTTGCATTTGAGGGCGGAGGGTGCAGGACTGTCTGGTTGTCCTCCATGTCCACCACACATTTAGTGTTCAGCTCAATCTCTGCAGCAGACAGGAGGGTTTTTATTTATTTTTTTTTATTTAAGTGTAAAAGCAAAACAATGAGGTGGCGTGAAGGCTGAAAATCTTTAACTAAAAGTGCGAAAAATGGCGAAGTAAGCAGCACAAAAAGTTCATGGGAATGTGGCACGAAATGGATGCGGGGAGTTTGTCGACTTACCCCTGCGGTTCATGGGCCGAACTCTCACTGCAACTTTTACCTTCGAGTCCGACATTTTCCTCCACTTTCTCCGTTTCTTTCGACTCTTCACTCCCGCCCTGTCCGCCTGGGAGCTGGAGATGTGTTTTTAAGTCTGGAAAATACCCCCGACAAGCTGAGCGGATCGAAGGGATTAAAAAAAGAAAAAGTCAGCAGCAGCAGCAGCAGGGTCGGGTTAAAAACACCCTCAGAGAAGTCCAGACTCACAGAAGATGGTTCGGASAAGAAGTTCATCGCGTTAAATAAATCCCTTTCTGTTTAAATCCAGCCGGGTCAGGTCCTTCTTGTGCAAACCGAGCCCTCTGCTCCAGCCCCAGACAGCAGCAGCATCTCCACCGCCATCTTCCACCGGGAGGCAGAGCGGAGAGGCTGAGCCAAACCAAASCGGAGAGGGAAGGGTTCGCGCCGCGCCGCTGGGAGGAGAAACCGAACATGACGAGCCTGAAGCCCGAGAGAAGTCACATARAAACAGTGTGGAGCACGACTCTGGCTAAACATACTGTCATTTAAAAGTTCACTCTTTAAAAGTCATAGTTTTAAGATGCTAGCTTATGATTTATGATGCTAAATCACAATTTAAAGATGCTAAGTTGTAGTTTTAAATGCTAATTAGACGTTAAATTTTTATGAGATGTCATTTTTTAAGACGCAAACTCAAATTTTAGATGCACAATCGTAATTTTTAGATGCTAAATTGCAAACTTTAAACACTAATTCAGATTTATAATGTAATTTTGAGATGCTAAACCTATTAGCCGCTAATTAAGAAATGCTAATTTTGAGATGCTGAACCTATTAGCTGCTAATTAAGAAATGTTAATTTTGAGATGCTAAACCTATTAGCTGCTAATTAAGAAATGCTAATTTTGTGATGCTACTTGGTAATTTTTCGATCCCAAGTCCTAAATTTAAAATATGAAATCATATTTTTTTAGATGCTAAGTCAATAATTTTAAACACTAATTCATATTTATAATACTAGGTCATAATTTTGAGATGCTAAGCCTATTAGCCGCTGAGTCAGAAATTTGAAATGCTACATTATGATTCTGTGATTCCAAATCCTAATTTTATAATGCTAGGTCATAATTTTAATAATAAGTCATACTTTGAAGATACTAAACCATAATTTTGAAGTCTACGTCATCATTTTAAGATGCCTAATCGTACTGTTGAGATTTTAGGTCATAGTTAAATGCAAATTTGAAGTTTTACAATGCTAGGTCACAAATTTTAGATGCCAAGTCATTCTTGAGAGCCTAAATCAGAATTGTTAAATAAGTCATAACTTTGAGATACTTAAATAAGTTATTGGTTCTAAATCAAAAAATTGAGATGCTAAGTCAAAAATTCTACATTTTTTATATGTTAAATTATGATTTTGAGTTGCTAAATAATTATGTGAAATATTGGGTCACAACCTTGATATGTACGAATATCAAACTTTTAGAAGCTGTCAGTTTTTAGATGCTAAATCTGTATTTTTTAGATGCTGTCATAATTTAGATTCTTAACATTAAAATGCTAAGTTAAATACAGAAAAACCTTGACAGGCTTGCCCCTGCCCCAGACCGAATCAATAGTGCTACAGCTAACTGATACTGCCATTAATTTTTGTAAATAACCACACAGTTCTATGTAAATATGTGTGTAATGTAAAAGTAATGAGTGTAAATGTTTTTAACTCACAATTTATGTGGAGTTCTTTTAAGACCCTGCTTCGAGATATACTTTTAATATCTGAATTTGTTCAAAAAAAAGCACAACGAATGACAGAAACAATATAACTTTTTACTTTTCTTTATTTGTTTGCACTGTTTTTCTTCTTCTTTGGGTTTCTTGATACAGTTTGTGGTTGGATTGTCAGATTTAAGCTGAATAAATCTTCACAGTATGGTCTCCACCGTCCAGGATGACGAATGTGTCGTTCAGGACCACCAACCCGACCGGACGGACAAGATGATTCCCCACGAGGGGAGTTAGCGCCAAGTCGTTCTGAAGCTTTCCTAAACTACAAACCAACCCCTGATCGGAGTCGGTTAGGATCACGTCTCCGCTTCTGYCAAACTCCACTGCGGACATGTCCAGCCTCAGACTGGACTGCAGGGTCAAGCTGAAACTGTCCACCTGGTGAAGAAGCTGGAAATCTTCGGTGAAGACTTTCAGCTTCCTGTGACGGTGCTTCTCGGTTGGATGCTCCATGACTGCGGTGTTCCCGGTCACCCGACAACAGGCCACGGCTTTAGGAGACTGAAGGTCGGATACAGCCGTGTGGCGCTCTAGAACGACACCGTGACTGTAGTCCACTTTGACCAGGGTCAACGTGCCCGCCTGGACATCTGACACCAGGATGTGCCCGCCTCGGTTTGTGTCCACGCCCCAGGGCAGCTGGAAGGAACCCTTGACCGTGACCACGTGAACGCCCCTGGAGGTGAAAACCTTCACAGCTTGATCCCCTGCGTCCGTCACCACAACACAACCGGCAGGGGTCACCGCCACGTCCACCGGGTAACAAATGTCCTCAGAGGCTTTTCCCCGTCGCCCGAAACTGTTCAGCTTCCTCCCCTGCTGGTTGAACACCACCACCCTCTTGGCTCCATCGTGCACCACGAATACTGCTCCCGAAGACCCCAAAACTGCTACTCCAGTGGGGTTGACGAGAGTCCCCCAACCTCCAAACACGGTGCGAAGGTGCAGACCTGTGGCTGAGAGAGGTGCTCCTTTACTCCTGCAAAGAGGAGGAGCAGGAGACGAGGAAGAGGGGCTCTGGAACAGGAGMTCCTGCAGGTCACCGAGGACCCGGCAGTGGGAGGTGCCGTCGGCGCTGCACAGCTGTCGGCAGAACGGGCACTCCAGCTTCCCGAGGAGAGGGTGGGACAGAGCCGTGAYGCATTCCAGACAGAGAACGTGTCCGCAGGAGAGGTTCTGCGGCCTGCGCTCCCTCTGCTGGGAGTCAAACGTCTCGAAGCAGACTTTACACTCCAGCAGGTTGACCCGGATCTCTCTCAGGGTCCCCTCAGGGCTCAGGCAGGCACGACGGAGGAGACTCCTGTCCATGGCAGCTGAAATATCCTGCAGCGGGATGCTCAGGCTTCAGTTAATCCCCCCACTCTCCACCACCACCAAAAAAAAAAGAAAGAAAAAGGGTTTAAATCTGATMATTTAGGTGACATGGATGAGGAGGGATCTGAGCTGCAGCAGTTCTGAGCTTTGAGGCCTTCAGGGTCACGTGATATTTTCAGCCCCAACTCGAGGCTCTCTACTGCCCTCCTTTGGAGCAAACGTGAACATGTGGCAGATCTCAGAACTAGCTCAATTTAAAACCAGGTTTTTACTTTGACCAGGCTCAAAGCTAAGGGATAAATCTTGTGCCAGCGGGAATTGAATCTGAATGTGCGTAATTTGAAACTGAATGCATTGGTTTGAAAATGAATTTTACTAAATTGAAACTGAATTAAAAGTTTAGTATCTGAATTAATTTGCTTTGAAACTTTATTTTGGTTTATTAAAAATTCAGTTTGACTACTTTCAATTTCAGTTCAATAATTCAGATTTTTGTGTCACACATCCTGGTCCTTGATTTATTTATCCCATACAAAACTTTCATTCATGCCTGGTTTTGTCAGTTTCACTTAAAAACAGCATCGCATGAAAGTCAGACTGAAATAGCTGCGTTACGCAGCTATTTCAGTCTGACTTTCATGCTGTGCTGATGGAGCGAAATCTGACCTGAAAGGTGGGCAGAGCCCCGAGTCGGCCAATCCAACAATCCTTTTCCCCTCCAGCAGGACGCCCTTCAGGGCTTCAGCACGATCACACAAACCCTACAAACACTGGATTAGATTAAGAAACATAAATAAATACTGGACAGATAAAAGCAGAAACTACTCACAGATGAAGAGGAAATGCAAAACATTTTAATATGTTGCCTTTTTTTGTTCCACAGTGAAGAAAGAAAAAAAAAAAAAAACAATACATCTTCAGCAGAAACAGTTTTGGCAAATGACATCTAAAACCGGAGACAGTGTACCTTTTTCTATAACGTAGCTCAGATTTACAGTTTGGATTGTCGAGGACGATGGAGGAGACACCGGCGCCGAGACGACACACACAAAAAAAAAAAAAAACTCAGAATAAAGCACTCGAGGTGAGAGGCTGCAGATCTAACGAAGCTGCGATAAAAACTGAAAACAAAACCATGCAAACAGGCACAAAGGCGTGAATTGAAACGTTAAAAATCAACACAAATACTTGGGTTCCAGTTTATGGTGCAGGTTATACAAATTTAGCTTCGACATCAAAACCGCCGACTTGGCAGCCATGCAAAAAGCAAGAAACGAGCAGAACGTGCAGGAATATGGGATAAGTCTTGTGCCAGCAGGAACTGAATTTGAATTGCTCAGATTGAATCTGAATGTGCATAATTTCAAATTGAATGCATTGGTTTGAAAATAAATTTAAATTGAAACTGAAATGATTTGAAACTGAATTTAAAGTTCAGAATTTTAATTAATTTGCTTTGAAACTTTATTTTGGTTTATAAAAAATTCAGTTCGACTACTTTCACTTTCAGTTCCAAAATTCAGATTTTTGTGTCACATCCTGGTCCTTGAGAAAGCCAGGCAGAGTAATCAAACACAGATCCACAGATTTATGTTTCACTTTGGTGAAGTTTCCCTTCACCTATATGTAGGAATAGATCACATATTGATCAGATGCTGCTACTGACTGATCCATGATGTGATGTAAACGTAACATTTTCTACATATAGGTCAAATTAATCACTGCAATAAAATAACTTTGTCTGTTTTTGTCACTTTTACAGTGGATTGCATCAACTCCGTTACATCCAGAAGGGAAACTTCACCAAAGTGAAACATAAATCTGTGGATCTGTGTTTGATTACTCTGCCTGGCTTTTTCAAGGACCAGGATGTGACACAAAAATCAGATTTTTGTAACTGAAATTGAACTTAGTCAAACTGAATTTTTAATAAATCAAAATACAGTTTCAAAGCAAATTAATTCAAATTCTAAACTTTAAATTCAGTTTCAAACCATTTAATTCAGTTTCAATTTAGTTAAATTTATTTTCAAACCAATGTGTTCAATTTCAAATTATGCATTTTCACATTCAATCTGAGCAATTCAAATTAAATTCCTGCTGGCACAAGATTTATCCCATACAGGAATTTTAGTCATTGTTCCATCTCATCAGCCCCTTAAAATGAAAAAAAAAAAAAAAAAAAAAAAAAAACATGATTTAAAAAGAAATGATATCCATCACACTGGTTCACATTAATACTCCGTTACAAAATGCACAGTATTCTCGAGGAAAACATCCAGCAAAGTGCTTTAACTGTGTGCTTCTTTACAGACCCCACTTCAGCTGAAGATCCTATTAAAGCCGCCTGGCATCGAAATTCAAGTTAAAAACAGGACATAATAAACATTTACCATGTACATAGATCCAAGTGATACTTCTGTTTATATATTTATATATATAAAAAAAGATTTGTCTGTCCTACATGGATACACGTTTTGATAAAAGTGATCGATTCAACACAATGGCTTTTTTAACATTAAAATRTGCTGAGTCATACTTTACAGTTCAGTCAAATGATACTGTTATAAACTACAATAAGCATGCAGTCACAGCTAAAAAAAAATCATCTTTTATTCTCTCGTACACTCACACAACCTCGTTACACTCAGAGAAACCTGTGATTAGTGGTTAAGGACCTTTTGAACACACACA